TTAGTGTGTTTTTCCCATACCCACCAAATTAATGTTTCAAAGGTACGTGTCTCATAGCAACCTGAAATATATCTTTGGGTATTTTAAATAAATACTGGCTTCGAACAAATTTTACCAGTAACTATACACGTGAAAACCAAAGTATAATATATATTAAAACTAATTTGGGACACTTAAGCTGAAAAAAATATGAAAGGTTTTAATATCAGCCCTCACAAGAAATAATCTGACCACATGGAATATTGTTTCCTGATTACTATTTATTAAACAAAGCTAATGAATGTTATCTATTCCGATGTAGAACTGAACTGAATTTTCTAAACACTACCGTCACACTAAATCTAAACGGAAAAGACTATGAAAAGTATAATTGAGATTTTTTTTCTTTTCTTTTTAGTAGATCATATTGAAAGAAAATATGAATTACTTTCCGTGGACAAATCTATTAGCTAACCCATGTCTATGAGAGTACATGTTAATACTATATTTACAATCCACGATTCAAAATCTAGATTTCCTGAACATCCTTTTGGAATTGAATCCCTTACCCTTTCCTTTGACAAAATGTTCTCCTTTCTCAGACTATAAATATATTCCATTTATTTTCCTCGCCCTTCTCACTTTAACAAAAATTACCTTATACTATTCCCATCAGCTCCATCTCTCTCCTTTTCACTGCTATGCTGTCCTCTAAGGCTGTTTAACCTCTTTCAACATCTTACACACCTTAACCTAATCATAATGCCATGTAACCTTAGATGTCTAGTGCTTAAATTATTTTTAATTACTAACCATTAACCATGTGAAATACGGCATGTTGCAGCCTATTCATAAGACTTATAACGGTACTACAATATCTATGTATATATATATATTTTTTTTTCACCCGTCGTAAGGATTTAACTTTAGAAATATTTTAATTTTTAAGTGAATTTGATGTGTTTAAGCCCCAGTTTGTCCGATTTTATAAATACGTCTCAAATCGGTGATAATCTAGGGCATAGTTTTTGTTGTGTATTTTCTTGTCAGAGAAAAAATATTTTCCGTACGTGATGAAAACTAGAGCATGGGGGCCATGGAGCAATATGAAAAGTATGACGTCGAATTATACTGAATTTTATCTCGCCTATAATACCTACATATAATTATATCTACCAAATAATTAAATTGGAATCTTTACGAAAAGTTTTCTTCCATATAGTTGCTGACACAATTGCACTATTCATAACAAGTAATAACTAAATCTAAAAAAAACAGTCTTTACTCGAGGCCATGGGAATGATGTATTAGTAGTGGGTCACAGAATTATTTCTTTTCTTTTCTTTCTTTGTGTGTTAAAGAGAGAGACATTCATATAACGCATATATAAATTCAGTTTATATTTATGCATTGTTGCCATTTCGTGGGTATTTACCACAGATCTGTGGGATAAATGGCTTGTCGAGAGACTATTTGTGGGGAAACAATTTTCGCTCCAAGTCTGTGGGAGTTTTCATGGGAATTCATTGAATTTGTGGGGGATTCTAAGGATTTACAAAGTTTGCCAAAAACTAATTGCTAATTCCACCAAAAAAATATATAATGTTTGGAGGATTTCATCTGTATGGTGTGCATCTTGGTCTCTACTGTGACTGCCACTGCTAGTATACTTGTACTGCTAAGTAATGAACCAGAGACGACACAAAGTAACCCATTCGTCCCTTAGACATTCCTTGTAGCTTCTTGCAACACTGCATTGCCCATGTGTTTGTAGAATCAGTGAATATATACCGAACATATACAGTGAATACTTTCTTTCTTTCTTTCTCTCTCTCTCTCTCTCTCTCTCTCTCTCTCTCTCTCTCTCTCTCTCTCTCTCTCTCTCTCTCTCTCTCTCTCTCTCTCTCTCTCTCTCTCTCTCTCATATACATAAAGCTTTCAAAAAGAGTGCAAAGTACAGTCAGAGGTATCGTCTAGTATCGAAAAAAGACTCAGTGCAGAAGACATTAACAAAACAAGTAATTAATTTACATTTTATGCAAGCAAAGACAATGGTAACGCCATTACTTTTAAGATGTAATACATCCAACTGCTGTTTGTAGGATATTATTATATTGATCGAAGGTACTTTTTCCATTAGTTAAGGAATACAAGTAATCATTTGTTCATAACGATTGTAGAATATAAACTAAATTGCTTTTTTATATGTAAGCTGTTAAAAAGTATTTTTATGGAGATATAGATAGATATTGCATGTATACACCATATCTATATTCATGTATATAAATAAATCAATACAAATATGTACGTATATATATATATATATATATATATATATATATATATATATATATATATATATATATATATATATATATATATATATACATATAACATATACACATGCGATCTCTCTCTCTCTCTCTCTTCTCTCTCTCTCTCTCTCTCTCTCTCTCTCTCTCTCTATATATATATATATATATATATATATATATATATAATGTGTGTGTGTGTGTTGTGTGTGTGTGTGTGTGTGTGTGTGTGTGTGTGTGTGTGTGTACACATGTATTTATGTTTGTATGTGTGTGTACAGTTGCGGAATTATATTTCAGTATACTTTCTGGGTCCTATTTTTGTTCTTCTGGCAATCAGTCGAAGTAAACAGCGTATATAGTATTTTTGTGAATGAGGCTAAAACCCTAGGTAGTTTGTATCAAAGAGTGTGATTGGTCGAATTTAAGTAACCAATGAGTGTATTGATGAATATTTTTTTAAAACTAAGTTAGCCATTTGATCTTTCGCTTTCTTCAAATAAGTGATAAAAAAATAAAGCATGTAATATTAGCTATCGTTGATTTTGTAGTTGGATATTCTTCAAATGCGATATCCTGGAATTGTTTGCTTATCTAAATGGTAACATCTATGATGGGGAGGCGGCATTCCCTACTCCTTACAACATAAGAAGTATCATTTATAAATACACATTTTTTAAAACATGCTTTAATAATCTATGTAAAATCCCTGAGACTTCTGTAAATTCCTTTGATACCTGCGCCATCTAGCAGCAGCTAATCGAACTAATGAAGTGTTTTTATCTTTATGTCTGAATTTAACACATATTGAATAAGCAAAAACCGTGCTAAATTAGATTCCTCAATATAAAGCATGAACAAAATCACAACTATGTTACATTGAATATGCAGATTCGTTATCGATGTGTGTGTCTGTGTATCGTCTATGGAAATACTTAGTCATGCTTGGCAATGAGTTACGAGAGACTGTATAATAAGCTATTATTATGCATTAAATCTGTGCTTTTCTGAGAAGTTGCGTCCAAATTCGAAGAACTGAGCGAGAAAAAGCATGTTTGCTTGTTTCAACTCATGCAACTATTAGCTGGGTGGTTCCAAGGAGGGTTGAATAACAAAAATCTTAGAGCCAACTCCCAAAACTTGTGTTGTATATCTTGTTCATTCTAATGAAATGTGAATTTATCGCTGTCAATTGTTAGTGTCATCTATCCATTTTCTTTTTATTTGTCAGTGCAATGTAATGCAGTATTTGCGTGGGTGTAGATGATATTAGCATATTCAACCTTTACATCAAATTCATTCTCTTTATACATTATCCTAGAAGTAATAATTTCCCGGTGTGTGAAAAACAAGGTAGAAAATAAATCGCATATTTCATCACTTTTATGCCAATGAATATTCAGCATTTCCTAATTATCCATTTCGCGGCTAAACATAAAACAAGTTGAATTAATAAATGTCCGATGGTCTTAGACGTCATAATAGCATGAGAAATCCGAGGTCAAAACGAGGCTGCCAAGCTGTCACCTTTTTCAGGATGGACGCAAAGCAAGCTGTCATCTGAAATAGAGGCTGCTACAATGGGGTGGCATAGCTCCGTGGTAGGACGCTGGCTTTGCAATCCCATCTCTTCTCCCGGCGGCCGCAGTGATAACATCTCTCCAGCTCTCTCCCACCGATGGACGACGACTCGGCTCCCTCGCGAGCTGCGACCTACAACCAGATCCAATTTTCAACGGATACACACGACGGCTTCCTGCTATCGACACCACTGCCTAAGGAAGGACAGCTTCGAAATGTCTGCGGTCGCCGGGAGATGGGCCACGCCGGAGAGTCACCTCTGCCTTACCGGGTCGGCCACTTACCCTGGGACTTCTGTGGAGGCAGCTTCGTCGTCGGCGTGACGGGGCGGCCACCGTCTTCGCTCCCAGAATCCTGCTGGTGCTGCTTCGCCGTGGTGCATCGTTGGTGTGGGGCTGTTTGCGGCGCCTTCCCCTGTTCCTGATGTTCGGCAAGCTCTGGCTAGTATTTGCTGGGGCCGGCCACCTACCGTAGGGTACGAGGCGCCTAAGTAAGGCGTCAGGGCGGAGTTGGAGGGCCTCTGCCACCGGCCCTACAGCCCACTTACAGCAGTTGCTGCCTCGGTTGGCCCCGGTGGAAGAACGCCGGAGCGAGCCTTACCGAGGGAGGAGGGGACGTCAGTGAGGGGCTTCGCGACTTCGGGGTGTCGTAACTGAGCGGGTCCTGGCGGCCATCTGGGAGGAGGACGTCCCTCTTTCTATCGTCAGAGATGGGCGGCTTCCGTCCGGTGTTCCGGGCAGCCGTTTCTGTTTGGGGAGTGTGACTCCCAAAAGGCCGATCTTTCGGCAAGTTTGACAACACCCAGAGACGAAGCTTTCATGCTTCGTCACACATGAATAAAGTTGACCCTTTAAAAAGAATCACTAACATAAAGTGATACACCTCACGGGTGGCTAAATGCGAAACCCGTTCCATCCCTAAGTGGATGATAAATTTAAAAAAAAAAAAAAAGCAATCGCATGCAGACCTCTCCCGGCAGCCGAAGATGCAACATCTTCTCTGAAGACCAGCAAAGGCGTAGGAACTCCATGCATGGGATGCCCCAAGTTGCCGTCTCTCCACCTGCTTTTCATGCAGAAAAGTCACCATTATGCCAACTGCTTCGGCTGTGGGGAGACATCTCACCCA